TGCTTTGCTTTGCGTGCGAACGCGATTCTCGTATATGCAAATTTCATCTTATGTTAAAGACGGGGAATAAAATGAATAAACAAATCTTACAGATTGAGAGTAATGTAAGTCAAACAATTGTAAATTTAACTTCCATTCTTTGTACAATGCATTACGTAACTTTAAATATTACTTTCTCAAAAACTAATATTTTCATTTTTACTATTAGGCTGTTCATTACTGTGAATTAATACTTAATAATATTACAGTAAAACACCTTGATTATTTATAAAAAAAAAAAAAAAAAATAAAGAACAGAGATATCCTTTCCCTCAATTACATGATTCATTCCGAAGAATGAATTATTTATGTAGCCTTCATACTGCAACGCATAAAATACATAAAAATTTGATTAATTCATGTTCTGAGAGAGGCTCAAACAATACCTGCCGTTTCGTCTAGTAAATCCCTTCTAATCGCTCTTTAGCGATCCTTCCTTGAGGTAGGTAATTAAATGTGTATAGTATTTAATAATTAAAGTCAAATATCAAACAATAAAATTGATCGTGTGCTTTATCTACTCGCGAGCATGCGTAATTATATTAACGCAATTAACGAGTCCCTTGCGTTCCTCGAGCGAGACGCGTACACTTATGTACATATAATATAAGCGAGTGTTCCAGGAAGCGTCGAGACGTCGAGACGTCGAGACGTCGAGCGGGCAGCTCGCCGCCCCAGCAGCGTCCAACAGCTGCGAAAAACAGCTGCAATTAACGATTAATTGTGATAATCTAATTGTAAGATTTAGAAAATAAAAAGGGTGTCCCAGTAGTTCATTATACATATCTACAAGGGTTAAAGAAATCACTATGAAACTTAATCGATTCGTCTACATACATTAATAATTGCCTCTAAAATAATTACCAGCTTCAGAAGTTGAAAATTGAATTTTTATTCGACCGATATATGTATATAGTTGCAATTGAAAATTAAAACAAGTAGATATTTAATCGTTAATTAAGTTAAATCTTCGGTACTAATTATAAAGACGTCAATTAAAATAAATAACCGAGTCGATGAAAAATTTATTACTGATGAAAAAAGAGCGTAATCTTAATTGGTTGTTTTGAAAGAAAGGGAAACCAGGATCAGTCGAGTGTTGAATGTTGATCGAATCAACGTCGAGACGCTGATTGAAATAGGAGATCAATTAATTGAATCGTTTGATTGATTGGTGAAATGGTAATTGAAATTTAATGGACGGCACTTTCTATCTATTTTTACAACAAAAACGTTCGTAAGTTATTAATTGTGTTGAGCACCTTAATACATTTTTTCAGTTGAATATATATAAGATAAAAGTGATTAATCACTTTTGAAACTATACAACTTAATTTGTTAAAAAACTATAACTCAATTATATTGTGAACTTAAGAGACAACCAGATGAAATATTCGTTTATCTGGTTCTGAGTAATTTATTTTCCTACTTTTAAGAAATATTAAAAATGCAATAGGTTTCATTCTCCAATTTAGAACCTTACGAAATTAATGTACCTAATTAATATAGTATTTGAAATTTTCTAAAAGTTGTCTACTTTTATTCGTTTTCAAAAAATCAAAACAAATAAACTGTAATAAGTCATAAGTACATAAAAGTTACCCCAAGGATCCAAAAGGACCGCGTTATACATATATATAACAAAAATATGTATGTAGAAATGTATTATATGAATCCCTAAATTTCAGGACAAGTAGTAATTATAGAGATTTGAAGGGGTTAAAACTGTGCAGCCGACTGTGAGGCTGTTCAGCCTGCTGCTTCCTCAATGCGCGACGAAGCAGCCGTTCTAAACTGTACGAAGGACGCGCATACCGGAAAGAGGTATAGTGTCATGCCATTCGTGCTACAGCCACGCCAACGAGGCGACTTGGGCCTGATGTTCAGAGGCCCACATGTGTTCGTCACAGCTGTCCTTTCGTGTCGACTCGCTTCGAATATACGCTAGCGATGGGATAACGATTCGAATATACAAATATTTTTATATTTTTCGAAATTTATCTATACACTTTATACATATATCAAACGAGTACAGTTACCTAGTACCTTTCATAAGTAGATACTAAACTTGATTTAATGTATGCCATCATTATTAGTTGTATGTTACTGAGCAGAATCAATACTTTGAGAATAAATACATTATACAATACATATCTGAATAGTTGAGGTATCCAAAGTTGGAGTGTGAAAAATTGTATTTTTATAACAACCCCGATAGTAACGCTTAATCTGAAGTTCAAATCTGGTTTCTACAAGTATTTGAAGATTCGAATATTATTACTTTTTGCTAATGAACATCATTCAGACTCCCGAAATCAGATCTGTATTTCATACCGATAATTAACAACTTTGTAACGAGGATTATCTGGAATCTGCGCATGGAAAAGGATGCTTCTTCCCTTTACCTCATGCAATTCAAAGCGTCCGACGGACGACTTATTTGCAAATAATCTGATAGAACGTGAATCCATGATGTTACATATTCAAGACGTGAACCGACATTTTTTTTAACGATGCTTTAGAAAGAAGAAAACGCATATTTGTGGAATCGATGGTATCCAACACGGTTAAGTTAAGTCTCGGCTAGTGTTGGATCATTATTATGGAATCGGCGATCTAGCTCGATTAGATTAGATATAGGTTAAATTTTTTAATTTGCAGCACACAATTGACGTATACAATGGAACAAAATAAAAAGAATACTACTAAATGTTTCCTTTTCTTAGTAATATAAAATAAAACATTCCAAATACATATTTCCCTTATAAAATCTACTTTAATTAGGTAATAATCAGAAACAGCAACATTTTTCTACTTGATTTTGAGGACAGCTATAAAATTTTCCACCATTCTTTTATCATCGTCTATTTTTAAATTTATTTTCACCGATTAGATAATTATCGTCCGAGAATTGATGACTACTGTGCTGATATGTTACGATCTCAAGTAGAATTGATTTTATTGTTATATTGATCGAAAATAAAAGGTACTCAAAACTGTTAAGAAAGAGAACTTCCGTTATAATGGAAAGCGGAAATGAAATTCTAGAAAAGATCACGAAAACATTTTCCTTGCCTTTATATGTATGTATACTCGTAACTTTCTGTACTTTTTTTTCTTCTTTATGGGAAAGTTGTCCCATAAAAGAATAAGATTATTAACTTTAGAATATTGAAAGTCATTTCATCTTAAAAAGGGAGTCGATTCAGAAACATTTTTCTTCATCGGGGAAACATAATTAACGTGTCACTGGCAAACACGACCTGGGCCACGTTTCACGCAGCGCCTCGTACTATTTTCGTATTCTCACCTACAGTGGGTCGGAAACGTATTCGTATTAGGACTCGAAAACATTGAATAGCTTTTATTCGAATGATCCGGATGATTTGAACAATTAATTGTTTATTTCAATAATCAGAATATTAGAATACTCAATCCACTGCCGTTGGTCTATGGTCTATGGTCTATGGTCTATGGTATTGATTCCTAATCAATAGTTCGCGTCATTAATAATGTGATTAGATCTGAATACACCGAATAAAAAATTTCAATTCAAAATAATCCGAATTATTCGTATAATTTCATTATTCAAAATTGGAATCTGAATTTTATCTATATGGGAGGCATTCAAATACACCGAATATTGAATCATCTAAAGAAAGTTTTCACAATTTTTTGCATAAATCAAGTACCTACATATTGAAAGTTTAGCAACCCTAATATGAATAATTATGAGAGTGATTGGACGACGTGATCTTACGACAGGCGGTCCTCTTTGGGGAAGTTTCCGCGTTTACGAAATCGCGGTCGGTAACCAGTTCCCTTCACAGAATGCATATGCGCGTGGCTATGAGCCCAATTCCGTTCAGAAACGATTGGTTCCCTCTTCGACATCCTGACGTATCGCCGGTATTGTAGCTACCTTCTATTCCCGGCTTTTCTCGCAAGTGCCATGATTTTGTTTGCTACATAGATCTTTCCCTGATCGAGCGAGACAGAATATACGAATTTCACACGAGAATTGTTTCCCTTTCTCTGTTCCCTGAACGCAAGCGCAGCATGACCTCCCTCTATGTGATCTGTCTCACTTTATCTCCTTCCATTACGCTTCTGATCCCCTCTGTTTCTCTATATGTATTCTATTTTCACCGATGCATTATTTCTCTTTATATTTTACTCTGTTTGTAACACTGGTAGAGTTTTATTTGTGCGTGAAAGTGGAAATTATTAGCCGGTAGTCATCAATAGTTCCAGCTGTCTGATTCTCCACCGAATTGAAAAACGTTTACCGCACGTTTAGCAACAAGTTAGGGTTGAAGATATTTGAACCATATCCCTTTTTCCATTTAAACGATTACCAATAAAGTGTTCCGCTTAAAACTGTGTAACGTTTGGGAAGAAATGTTTTCAAAGCGGGCATACTTTCGAGGCACAGAAATAGTAAGGTCGAACTGGAGTCTGGTATTAAAAGCGGCGGGCAGAAGCTTGAAACTGAAAATTTAATGCACGAACTGTAATTATATTTAGCGCCAGCTTACATCGATCTCTAACAGAAGCTAAAGCTTTCGAAACAACGTGGAATTGTTTGCTTCAACGTTTCATTTCTCCGTTACACTTAAATATAATTATTCGTAATTTCATGAAAAGTATACTTAACGTAATGGTTGATGGGAGTGGGCGAGACCAAGATGTCATAACTGCCCGCCATCTTTGTTATAACCTATAGATCGTAAGTACTTACTTACTTGATAGAACTCTGATCTAAAAGAGAACTTATTATGTATACATGAGAGAATATGAAAGAAAAAAAAGTTGCTTAATCGAAGTGCGAGCAGCGTCAAAATTTCGTCGTAGGCGTTCCGGAGAGCCCGGTATGTTCGTTGTTACAAAACGTCGGCCTTCGGCCGCTCCCACCAACTCAGACCTCACGATCAGTCCAGAGTTCTCTACTCGTGTATTACCTTGGTTTCGTCATCGGTGCAGACAACAAGTTCCCGGGGTTTGCTCGCATAAAGTTCTAAACACCGTGACGATATAACAAAACCAAACCACTGCACCGACTAAAACGGACATCCCGACATAATATGCACACCCTCTCGAGTCTCTGCTTTATCGGCCGCTGATATCACTCTCTGCGGAACTTGCCACTTATTCCCAAGTCCTAAGAATAGGATGAATATCATCTTGTGTTGTTTAAAATTTTGTCATTGATATATTTAATCATTGCGATGATCATCTGGATGACATCATTTAGCGGCTACATTTCAGAAGCGTACGGTTTCTTTTTTATTTCAAAATGGATAACGGTTGTCGTCTACGGTACCGTTCATGGTATATTTATAGGCGCGGCCACTAGTAGGATTAAGATTATTGTACTGTTAGACTTGTTAGATTTTTCCATATAGCAGAACAGGAATTTTCTCATGAACTGCGTCGAATAGAGAATATTCTAAAGCGGCTGTATGTACATTTCGGCGTCATTGTAAATTTAGTCAGTGACTTGAGCTTTGTGCCGAACGACTCATCCAGGTCGAACGGGTTCATAATTTCGAATTCATTTTGAAATCTGTCTACGCGTTGTTTTCGTTGCGAGTGTACCACGCGAGCGTGGACTTCTAGTTTGGCAAACACCGACGCCAGTCAGCGTCGTCGCGGCCTGACACTATGGGCAGACGGGAACGGCCTAGTCAGGTACTCGTACAGAATCGAGTTACAAAACCGAGTTGAAAAAAAGAGGTCTACATTGATGTTGTCTTATATCTCACGTAGCCCCGACGCAAAGCGCAGTACACCAGCACCCATCAGCAACCACAGTGCTGCTGCTACCCGGTGCTGAGTCACTGCTGCGTTGCCGATACAGATCCACGCTATTGCTGGTGTAGCGTTGCCACGTTTCCTGTTTCCCTCCCTTCACACCACGCCCCTGCGCCGACACGCTGTGCGTCCATCCCCGCTTCTTGCCCCAAAACGAGGAGCAAACACGAACGTAACAAAGATGGAGCTAGAATATAACGGTGGAACTGGTGCAAGAGACAGAGAAAGGGTAGTAAGCTCGAGAGCGAACGGGACGAAGAAAGAAGAGAAAATGGCGGCTAGAGAAAGACAGAGGAGACGTCGCACAGCGCGTTCAAATTTCATTGCGTCAAGCTCACGGTGCTCTCGGGCGTCTGCTTAGCACGGAATTCAGAGAAAACGTCGGTAATGGAGTTTCGTGAGATAAACGGCAGCAGCGACGCCACTATGGCAGTAGTATTGGTCCTGCATGCCAGACAAGGTTACCAACAGGGCAACCAAAAAGATGCTTCGTATGTACAATGCTGCTACATGGGTTCATTTTCATGCCCTCCCTTTTCAACGAACACTCGTTACGCAACTATGTTACAGAGTCAAGTGATTGGAGGGAGGAACATTCGATTTGTCCGTTCTTCTTCCAACTGGGTTTGAATCGAGGTGGCGAGTCAACAATTCTCGACTCTGAAAAGGCGCGAAAACAATCCATCCATCAGGGGTGTTTACAACAGAGCGTTGGCCATCCTTCGGTGGAGGCTGGCTGGCTGGCTGGCTAGACTCTTTTCCACCAAGTGTTCGCTTTTGCGCTCTGATTGGTAAACCCGCGGTTCTTAAATCACCACTGATCCCGATATAAGCTCCGACCGTTCAATTATTTTTCGCGTTCAAGGGAGAAACCTGTTTGCTGTGTACTACACGTTCCGGCCACGAGGCTCGGTTACGTGCTTTGTTTCTTCCGTTGATGTTTCAATATTTCTGCGACAGGTAAATTTAATGAACTTCTTTGGATACTTACGCGGGACAATCGAGACGAATCGAGAGCTTCGATATATGTAGAAATCGCGTTTATCTGATAATACGATAGATAATACAGTAGTAACAGATAACGTTCTGTAAGTATCAAGAAAATTGGCATCAGACTAAAATATTCTTGGAGATTGTAATTAACCTTAAGCATCTCAAGGTGTTGGGAAGTTTAAGGTCAGCCTAAGAGAGAGTGATTTTGGGTTCACTTAAATGAAAGTGATTAAAATGGGGAGGAAAGTGAGCAGCCATTTTATTCCTTTCTATATTTGTACAGCCTGGCTCTACATAGTCCCATCAATAACGTCGAATTCTCAACGTGCAGGTCTAAAGGGCACGTGTTGACCAGTTCTCCTCTAACCAAACGTTACGCCAGGAGTGTGAGTGGAAAAGAGAAAAGTGACATGGAAATGGAAAAAAAGACAAACGAAAATGGGAGAAACGAGTGGAAAGCAAGGATGCCGGGATAGAGGAGAGAGAAGGAGAGAAAATACGTGAGGGAATCGTGAAACGGGAACGCCGTGCGCATCGCAATGCAAATGCAACTGACCCGATAAAGCTGCATTGGGTCATAGAAAGGGAAAATACAACCTACAAACGTGGGGCTCCCGCCAAAATACGATTTTTATAGCCTCTCATAGTGGCATTCACAACCGACCAATGTTCCCCTTCGACTTCTATCAAACACCCCCGCGTTTATAGTCTGTCTAACAAGAGTCTGTATACCCAGGATGATATCTTTGTGACAAATGTTATAATATATGAAAAAGAGTACTCTGTCGTATATTTTGTTTTAGGAACTGATCGTTGAATTCTTTATTTGCTTTATGCAAAATTCTGTTCAACTGTAGTAAACGCTGTCTGATACTTAAACCTTATCTACTGCGAGCAGCATGCCATTCTTCTTCCACTTGGAAGAATAAAAGATGATGGCAGAAAATAATGAATTTTGAAAATGAATTAAATTTTGTGATTCGTGTAGATTTTATATTAAAATAAAAAAATCTGACACATTTCGAACAGTTTGTTTTGCGGATCATTCATAAACAATTTAGAGATTCAATTGCACGGGAAGCGAAACGTTTCATTACGTTGAAATTTTGAATGGCAGAAAGTCAAAACAGGTATAATAGTGGTAACATAGCACGGCTCCACGGTGGCAAGTGGGGCATAATAAATTTAGGTATCGATCGAGCGGGAAGAGCGCGATCACTGCGACTGGCGCACACCGACGCGGACCACCGCCGCGCCGCGCCGCGCCGCGCCGCTACGCGGAATATTGTTCCGCGTGAAAATAACAGGACAGCGTTTTCAAATTATCAACACTCCCCTAGAATTTAGTTTTACGAGTTAGACATGATTGATAGTTACACGACTACAAAATTTAACGATACCTAGTTCTATCTCCAACCCTCCGTCTCCCTGCAGAAACCTAATTAAATTTCAAACAAACTTCGACCTGAATAGTACAACTACCTTTATTCAAAATTGATAGAGAGATATAAATATCCAGACACGAGGATATGTTTATATGAATAGAAATTTAGACAATTGACAATTTGGTTCTTGGATGTATTCGAGCCATATTTTTAAAACTATTATAGAAATTATAATTCTCATTTTCATGGAACAATCGAAAAGTAAAATGATTGTATGAACACGTGGCTCACAGAGCAAAGATAGAAAGTGCTTACAGACGAATAGCACGAATGGAGAATAGTGGATGGGGGTTGCATGGACATTGGCCGGACATCGGAATGGGAAACGGGTTAGCCGAATGACCGGCGGTCAGTATTATGGGGGTGGTGAATTGCAAATGCGTTCAGTCATCATTGCGAAAACAATTAAAAATGAAATTAAAAAGAAAAAATAGAATCGTACTCTAAGATCAATATTAGTTGAAAGCCAGTGACACTATACATTGTGTGAATTTAATGAAATAATTGGAAAGAGGAAAATAAAGAACCAATCGCGAAATTACCTATAATACCTATATGTAACTGAATTTTTGAAGCTGAACATTTCCTTAGGAATGTGATTATTTTAAAAAGCAAAGAAACAAATAAAATAACGAAGAGAATGTTGGCGCGCTTCTCGAATCGCGCATTTCGGTAATCGATATATACGAAACGTGCGCGCGGGCAGCCGAATCGCTTTTAGACTCATTTAAAATGCATCGGAGTACACCACCCACCTCATCCTTTCCTATTCACCTATGCACACTGTGGCCCATGTGGCCCTCCTTGCACTCGTGCGATACATTTCCGAAAGTTTAGATCGGCTTTCTTCCACTTAATGACACGATGGTCCAAAGAATCAAATAATTCAAAGAAGAAAATATTTTTTTCATTTCAACTCATTTCAAGTTAATATTAATTTTTATGCTTTCCTAAACATCGTTAAATAAAATCTCCAACAGGCGAATCTTGCTGTATTTGAATCAAGGAATAAAACTAAACTTTGAATTAAGTTTACTGAATTGATATAAACGCAACCAACTCGAAACGTTGTTGATTCTGCTAACTTCGTTTCGTTGTGAATCATTTCGATTGACTAAGTTTTCAAGTTGAAATGCCAGAAAACTAAAACTACCCATCCATAAAAAGTAATTGACGGCATCAATTATTATCCAGGTATCATAAACGTCCAATCTCCGGCACGATAATACATCGATAGTCTGTCATCAACGTCAGGTTACACAGGGTGAGAAGAGCACAAAGTTACAAAGGGTCAAAGTGCTAATAACACACGGAATTAATTTCACTCGCCTACGCTTGCTCATTGTTAAGTCCCACGGAAGCAAGGAGTTTCCATTAATCAAAACTCTGTTCAAGGTAACTAACGATATCATGGCTTCTCATAAATGGACACTACCGAAGAAAATCATCGTTTCTATTACGTTGTTGTACATACATTAAATGAACAATTTGAAACTATCTGAAACTATCTGAAACTACTGACAGGATTGGATGACATATAAAAGCTTAAAGCTTAATCTTACGATTAGATACAAGTAGCTACATAAAAACTTGATTAATACTCTAAATATAGAATGACTGGTCCTTTGTTGAAACAAACAATGAATTAATTAGTAGGTATTATCCATTAGGAAATGTCCCATTGTTCGTTTCAATAAAGAACCATTCATTCTGCGTTAAGAATATTTATTGACCAAACGTTGTGATGTATTCACTTTCATTGAACTTTCATTTTGAGGTAGTTTTATACATAATCAAATCGTATTAGAATTTCAACGTTTCGAAATCGTCTATTCAATATGCAACAACCTAACACGTAAAATCCCTCTGAAAATATACGAAAGTCGAAATAGAAATAGGTTCGAGCGAATCAACGAAATGTCGAAGGTCGCAGAGTTGTTGATGGCCCACAGAAAGCAACCTAGATCCTTTCGATCGATCAAAGTTTTACTTAGGCAACCAATAATGTTTACAGTTACCGCGTGACACCGCGACCCAACCCCCGTGAAAGTTCGCAAAGCCCGTGAAATCTCGAGCAAAGTTTCCTAATCGTAGGCCGAAGATTCGTCCACCCTTCGGGAGCTTTACTTTCAACAGATTTGCCCTTGTGGATCAAGAGAAACGTTGCCGGGAAAGATTGTTGACCAAATTTCCTTCGTGGAAACTTGATATTCCCATTCAAAGTCCCTTTCTCAAGTGAATTAAAACCCTTTAGCAGAGACTTTGCAAATATCTTAAGTACAGCTAGAAAGACCAAAAAGGAAATATTGAAAAGCGAATAAAACGAGTGCCGGTGTGATGCTCCGTAAGTCCATATCGAAATAGAAAAAAAGTTAGTAGAGCCCGATGAAAACCGCGCGAAATCATACCCCTTTTTCACCCTGTTCGCGCTGTCCCGGCACAAAACGAACCAGCTCTCTCGGCTGGCTCGGTAATCTCACGGCCGATCCGATCAGGGATGAGCACGTAGGTATCTCGAGGAAAAAACGAAGGAGTACAAGCAGCGAGAGGGCACACGGGCAACCAGATAAAGCAGAGAAGATGAACGGGATGAAAAAGGACAGGACAAGGGTAACTCGATGTATATTCGGCGAGACAAAGCTGATCAATGGCCCTAGCTGGCACGGTTGCGAGGAGGATAATGAACAGCGAGCTTTGGTATTCATATTGTATAATCCTATCAATAGTCTTCTTTTCTCTTAAATCTAACCAAATTTCATTCCAAATATTTTTCAATCTAAATTCTCAATATTACCGGCTGTACGAGCATTTATAAGATACGAATTTCGTCTGTAAACGTATACAGGGACATCGGGGATACGAAGAAAAAGAGTAAGTGAGGAAAAGAGAGAGAGAGAGAGAGAGAGAGAGAAAGAGAAAGGTAGAAAGGAAAGGAAAAAACGCAACGAAGCGCGTGATCGTCGGAGTTTTCTCTCGGAGGTCCCGAGGAGACGAGGCAGAGGGTAGAAAGGTAGAAATAGGGGAAAGCAGCAGCAGCATCCCCTTCTTTTTCTATCGTCGAAGCGGAGGCAACGGTAGCACCGCGTACGTACATTTATTCGAAAGTTCACAAACACGCGGCCAACTTGCACTCTGCTAATAAGTCATCGGTGTTCGTTCGTTCGTTCGTTCGTTCGTTCGTTCGTTCGTTCGTTCGTTCGTTCGTTCGTTCGTCGTCAACCTCCACCCCTGTAGAGCTCCGCAACCCCCACCGTAACCTCGCCTCGCTCCACGTTGGATTGAGCCAAACCCACCCCTTCGTGCCCGTTCTACTACCCCTCGTTCCCTCATCCACCCCCTCGTTCCATTTCAGTTTCGTTCTACTCCGCGTTTTCCTTCCCTCTCCGTCCCCCTCTTTCCCTCTCTGTGCACGTAGAACCATCCTCTGTGCTCGCGTTTTACGCCAGTTCCACCCATCCCTCGTCGAAATTCTAACCCACTCGCGCACGCACACAACCACGACTATACTCGTTTTCAAGTATACGCTAAAACTACGCTCCCGTGTACGAATAACCACGCTCGCCGTCCGTGTGAGATTTCGCTTGGGTGTGCCGCTTTCTCTAACCGTGTATAACCGTGTAGTAGACGTTTACACGCAAGCGTACGTGTATGGATAAGTTTTTGCAAGCGCGCTTAAACGAGAAAGCTCCACCATCGCAAGGATCGCGAGAGGGTATACGGTGGCGCAGCAAAGTTTCACCAACACCAACACCAACACCAACGGAACGGTCTAGCAAAACATGTACACGCGGCGCGGCGGACAGATACGGTCATGGTTCGTCCTCCGTGCGATGGCTTCCACCCTCTCTCTCTCTTCCTCTGACCGAGTTACGCTATCGCCTTCTCCATCTCTCCCGTCGTTCGATTTCAATGCGCCACCCTCTCTGTCGTTGTTCGCTTTTACCCCCTTGCTTTTTCTCCGTCCCTGTCGGCAACGACTAGCGGGGTCAAAAACTGGAAAACCGTAGGTGTAACGTGGCAAGTAGAGGAGTCGAGTCGTAGCTTGTATCGTCGTGCTTAAATTACGCGATTAAAACTGCCCGAATCGGTTAGTCGAGATGAGACCGAAATTTATTCGAGACGACAAACGTGCTTTCACGAGGCTTCTTCAAATTTTCTCTCGATAATATAGGGACAAAAAGTGTTGTAATTGAAAAACACATTATTCTAATTTCGAAAGGAAAGTGGACCAAATGAAAGAATGGCAAAATGAAACTGTTGATAAGAAGAGAGGAAGAAGCTGACTCATAGAGTCGAAGGATTTACCAAGCAGCGGTGACGCATGCGCGACAAGGGTACCGGTCCGACTTTCATGATCGAAGATCTAGCCGAACCTAGCCGAACCTAGCGGAAGCTAGCGGAAGTTAGCGGAAGCGGAAAAACGACGACAAAGTTGCAAAACTTAATCGAACGTACCGCGAAATGCGCAAAAAAGGAATAGGCGAACGTGCATGGGAACAGGATATTTTCCCCGCGCACGTACACCAACATAGAGAAGGTCTTTTCCATATTGTGTACCACGACCG